GAAATAATCACTGATGTTAACTTTGTATTTTTTTCTATTCTTCTTTCTTTTTACTTCATAACCGAGACCTTACATAGTCCTTCAACCAAGGAACGCATGATACAGAAGCCCATATTGTCTTCTATTTAAATCAACGTTACAGTCATCCACTCTTATCACGTTTTTTATTTAAATCATTGCGAGCTGGTAAACGCAGAGATATGGTATCGAACGTCATCGCACAAAAGTAATCAATATTTTCTAAAATATTTCACCTACTCACATCCATCGGTACATTTGTATATAAATGTAATCGTTACTACTTTTCTTCCCCCAGAAGTCGTAACGTGCTTGCTCACACATACGTCACTCACAGACTACTTCTATCTCTTGAAAGATCAATCGATCAAATCGATTCCTCGAAAAAAACATGAACACACGTTTGGACTGTGCTTTTACCTTCTGCGGTCGGCAAAGTCGTGTACGATTCGACAACAAATGAGTGAATAAGGACTTTCATACGTTTTCCTCGGGGAATGTCCCGAGCATCCCCACGGGAATAACGGGTTGAACAAGGGATGCACTGAGGGTGCGCGTGGAGAGATCAGTTGTGCGGAAGAGGCTAACGCCCAGCTGCCCGGCAGATCGCGGGTTCGTACGTTCGCGATAACACAGCTCTCTCGACTGTCGGCAGACTTCTGGCCAGATTGGCAATTGCCCCGGAGAAAGCTGATAAGATCGATTGGGATATGTCGATGTTCTTCGAGCGCTCACCCCTCCTATATCACCTTCTGTATCGTGCCCGTAATCGTACAAATTCTACGTGTCATCTAGATCTCAGTTTCGTGCAGTGAATAACCAATACGTTTCTAATAACATGCCCCTCAAATTCATGGATACGACCAACGAACGATGGGTACTCGGCTCGAGAGTGAGGACAATTCTCGAGCGTTGGCATGAAACTGAAACGCGAGTGTGTGACTGCACGATCGAACGAGGAACGAGTGCACTTTTTTTCGAACACTGATGAAGAGGACTGCGGCCCTCTGCATTCCCGACGCAAGCGGGGAAACGTTGGTTATGTGGTAGAATGCCTTGTTTCAACTACATCATCGAGAATACAACTTATCACATGCATTTAACGAGCAATTTTATAAACAACTTGGTTTTAGAATAACATCTTTGCAAGTGTTGTCGCGCGTGTACATACAGAGGATAAAACAGAGACGAAAGTTTGAACACCAGCGTCAGAGAAATGTGACAAATCTCCGAGACGAGAATTTCCAAGTCGTAAACAAAAAAAAAAATCCAGAGAAAAATCTTTTTCTTCGGACGAATTTCACCGACGATGAGGTTCACGGTGTTCGGCGTCTCCTTCCTGTTTCACTTGACCCTAATCGGAGGTTCGACAGCGGCCGAGGTGTCGTGCAGTAGCCGGCTGACGACGCCAAGAGGGGTGATCCAAACCCCGAATTTTCCCCGGGCTTTCCCGGTGCCGATTAAGTGCCGCTGGGTGATCGATGTCTCCGATATTTCAGCGAGCAACAGCTCCATCGTCATCTACCTGACCCAGGTGTACGTGTACAAAGGGCTTCGTTTCACCGAGTACGCGTACTACGAGTCGGAGAGCATGAATTTCGGCGCGACGCTGATAAAAGAAATTACCGAGGGCAATGTGTTCGAGTACAAGTTGTTCAGAACGTTCAGGCCGTTCCTGGTCATCGAGTTCGAGCTCGATCAACTCGAAGGAAATCACGTGCGGGTTTTGAACGATTTGCTGGACGTGTATGGCTTCAATATCACATATCAGATGACCGACGACGTGCCAAACTCGGATTCCTGTTCCGTCCAACGTTGCTCGTACACCGGGGACTGCTTAATGTCAGGGGATTACGAGTGAGTACTTTTACTTTTTGATTCTTATCCTCAGCTTAATTTATTAAAAGTCACTCACAAGTCTAGTCATTTTATTTCTCACAATTTGTAGTATATTATTGTCCTGTTGAAACAATGTTTTATTGTTTAGATAAATTACTTGAGAATTTTACCAATGAACTTTCTAGAAAAGTCACAAGTCATTTGTCACTTATATAATTATATAGTATATATGTTACTGTCTTGTTAAAATGATATTTTGTTACTTAGATAAATTATTTGAAATTTAAGATGAACTTTTTAGAAGTCATTTATCACATAATTTGTAGTATGTTATTGTCTTGTTAAAATGATGTTTTATTGGTTAGACAAATTGCTTAAGAACTTTACCAATGAACTTTCTAGAAGGGTCACAAGTTATTTATCACAACTTGCAGTATATATAATTTGTACTATGTTACTGTTTTGTCAAAATGATATTTTGTTGCTTAGATAAATTATTTAAGATTTAAGATAAACTTTTTAGAAAAATCACAAGTTATTTGTCACATAATTTGTAGTATGTTATTGTCTTAAAATAATATTTTATTGCTTACATAAATTACTTAAGATGAACTATGGAAAGATTTTCCATTATTTCTTACCTATACAATGTATTCCTGTAAGTTTTTAATATTTGTCATTTATGTTTTTTACTAGACGTTACATCATAGCAAAGGATCACTCTGCAATTTGCTTTTAGGGACCAGTAGGTCCATTGTATTCGCCTCTTGGCTGTTATTTATAAACGTGTATTAATCCTATAGCAAACAGGATCAGCTCTGAAACCTAATTAAGCCGCTTTATCATTCGCTGGGATTATCGCTCCCGTTTGTTCTCATGCAAGTTCAAACAAGCACTTTCATATGAATTTTATGTGAATTTCCCTTTAAAAGTGAAACGTATATTCGAGCCAGTTCTGCGTGCTGCAAATCAATCTGCAAAAGATTTTCAAAGGACAGTTTTTCAAAATTTCTTGGTATCGAACGAAAAGAAACAAACTTCAATCACGAAACAAATTTCAATCCATCTGTTTCCAGAGTGAGCTCAGAAATAAAATTCAACGCGTGAAATAAATGAAAAAAAAACAGGTGAGAGCTATTTTCTTGCTCGAGGTCGTTTGTCGCGCGGGATAATTTCGGAAAGTTCCCAACGGAAAGACAAACAAAGCGATAGGATGGCACCGAGCGATATCGTATCAGCTCATGAATCATTAATGAAACCCGTATCTTCATCAATTTACCGTCTATTCCTGGATCACTGTGTTTGCGTGCCTGTTATATAAATAATAGGATCTATCTGTTGTTTACACGCAGGAGCTTCTGGTGCGACTGCTTCGACGGTTTCAGCGGCAAGAATTGCAACAAAGGACCGCTCTGCTTCGACGACAGGAAAAACCCTGTTTGCCAGAACGAGGGAATCTGCAAGTACGAACATCGTTCACGTAAATCCATCGTCGCAGATCTAACCTAAAATATGTTAAACGAAAAACTGGGATCGATGAAATTTTTAACCAATAGCAAAGGTGTTTGCAGGCCATTGGCTGAAAAGCAGTTTCTATGAAATATTGCTTCCATAACTTAAACTCACTCTTTTAACCCTTTGCCTCGACAAAGTCTTTTTTTGTATCATTTATCATGCAATTCCCTTGCACTTCAAATAGAATGATATAGAAATTGGAAATAATCATTCAAATGGTATTGAACACAAAATTTTGTTGGTTATATTCTTCCAATATGCGTTAAATTCGAGCATTCAATTTTCAAATTTAAAGCAATCATCAACGTGCATTGCTTGGATTTGATTGTATAATTTATAAGAATAATAATATATAGAATATATTATACTGTTAAAATATATATATAATGGTATAATATATAAAAGTGCATAGTGATGCATAGTTTCAATCTCTGGAAAAATAAGAAGCAGCAAGAGGCCTAGTTTATGTGAATTATTTCCAATTATATGAATTATTGAGTGTCAATTGACTCAGGGCTGTCTTCAGAAGTTTTTTTCTTTTGAAGTTCTTTTATTTCTCTTATGTCGTTGTTATAGCTTTCACTCTTATAGTGTTTTTCAAATATTATACTATTATACATTGCGTCAATACAATGTATGTACAATAAATGTACATACATTCTTTATGATTATCAGCAAATTATAAAAAGAGAAGGTCTTTTCAAGCTGTTAGTTAAGTTTAAATCTCCTCAGAAGGGGCAGCCGAGTGCAAAGGGTTAACTGTCTTCTTGAAAACCGAACCAAATAGAAAATCAATGAGTTATCGTCGATCTCTGAAAACATTGAAGAACCAAATCTCTTCTCTTTGTAAATACCTATCGATGTGATAGGTGACGATGTTTCGTTGCGAACTGTTCCAGGCAAATTGGAGCAGAGGCGATGACCTGCGAATGCGCCAACGGTTACGTCGGCCGTCACTGTGAGATTCATCTTCTGGACACCGTGGATGGCGGTAGGATTTTCACCCCAATGTCGATCTACAACGTAGATCTCTCCATACGAATTCCACATTATATTAGCTGCACTATACAGGATGGTCCGCCTAAATATCTTTCCGAATTGTGACGATGCAAAAAATACTTTAACAAGAATGATATCAGACTGGTAAGAATATTTTTTTTCAATTTTTGCCATTCTTTTTTTTCGGATTTTTCAAGGTCATTGGCAATCCCCCCCCCATGCAACTCTGTGTGTGTGTGTGGGGGAAAGAACACCAATGACCTTGAAAACTCTGAAAAGATGACCTTGGAAAAAGAATATTCTTGCCAGTTATTAATAAGACGCATATACGGTTTGACACTGTTCACGTTAGGTTAGAAAAATATTGTTTGGTTAAAAAATATCGTTAAAGTTCGAAAAGATATTTAGGTGGCTTAAATGGACTGTATATATATATATATATATATTTATATTTATATTTATATTTATATATATAAATATGATTTTATATATATATTTATAAAATCATATTTATATATATATATCATATTTATATGCATATATCATATGTATATATATATATCATATTTATATGCATATATCATATTTATATATATATAATCATATTTATATACATATATCATATTTATATGCATATATCATATGTATATATATATCATATTTATACATATATCATATTTATATGCATATATCATATTTATATATATATAATCATATTTATATATATAATCATATATATAATCATATTTATATATATAATCATATTTATATATATATCATATTTATATATATTGTAAATCAATACTATTTCCGATAAAATTTTACAAAGTTATTTATCTACACGTCTAGTATCTCTTACGTAAATCCGTCTTAGAAATAGAGAAACGTAAATTTACGTGGCCTGTCCGTTGTTAAGTGTTAGTTTGTTCGAAACGATTTTGTATAAACGATAAACTCGAGAGGAGATCGTTCGCACGCGGACGACATTTCGCTGACTCACGGTGAGCCTCGCGAATACGTGCTCTCATGAGGTCGACGTTTGTTCGCAGAATGCGGGATCGAGAATTGCATAATACAATGCCCTTACGATGAGGAGGAGGAGCAACAGCAGCAGCAGCAGCAGCAATCACCGTGCGCGTGTAAAAACGGCACGAAGATTTACAACAGTAAGTTGCACAGCCTCGTCCTTGAATCGCGAATCCGATTTGGATTTTCCCCGATACAGGGAAACATCCATCCGCGTAACGTCCCCCGCGTTTAATAATCCTGTGGTGAAATCTTGCAGATCGATCGAGATACGAGTGCAGAATCAAACTGTCGAACGTGACGTCCGTGAGGTCCGGCTTGATTGCGCAACACGGCAGCTTGGAGTCCTACGTCGGCAAACAGGTGAGTGAGATAGTTCAGAAGAACAGGGTTTCAGCCGAACTTTTGTGCCAATTCCTATTGTTTTCTCAAGTGAGCTTCAATGCGCCACTAAATTATCCGGCATTAACAGCCAAGACCTGTTTATAAATAGCACATAACGTAGGACATTGGAAAAAGGCAAAATAAACTTACTTTACTAAATAATAATAATAATAATTTTACTCTTACTCTAAATAACTTGCTCTGATGCGTCACGGTTGCCCACTCGTGGTTTAGAACATAATTATGGAACTACCATGAAATTTGTAGAATTTATTCGACATCAAAAATGCTGCGTCGGGAGGAAAAAAGATCTTTCTTCGTGAATTTTACTCTGACAATGACTGTCTCAATAATTTCGGAAGTAAAAGTCAATCCTCTATCATTGCTTAGGAAACAGAAAAACAAATCGAGTAAACAGTGAACGTAAGATAACGTACGCGTGCAAGTCACGATGTAAACAATGCTCGCGACGATCACGTTATCTTGGCATCTGCCATAAGTCGGACCCGCGGTTTGTTTACGTTCGAGCACACCCTTGTGACAAGCGAATACGTGTACGTTCGTACGCAAGCGTACACGTAACTAGGCAAACGTGACTACTTGTAATAGCATACGTATAATAAGCAGGCTGAAAATAAGCGCACGTTTCGTCAAATCAATACGAGTTTCGACACACGTATAGTTGATAGTATAGTTGTCTGTTTTTGTTATCTGAAAAACTCCCGTAATTTTTTTGCCGATTCCCGCATCTTCTGGCAACGATCGAAACGTCTCTTCAAATCCTGATCTCCCACATAAGAGTCACGGTATTAGAACACCAGTTCTAGACTTGTGGGTCGTAAACCCAAATGATATGAAAATAAACCCAATGAGAATAACGTCAGCAATCTTCTCTATCTTCGATAATTCATATAAATGATTTTTCGATAGGACACTTTGGTATACGCATTCATAAAGATGGCTGTGGCAAATACTATCCTATTATACTATAATGTTATACAGATGTTATCCACATAATCTGTATAACCTGCTTTGCTAACTTTCAAGTCCAATGAGAAACGCCCATGGAACGTTGATGTATAGCAGACAAATGGTCCTAAATGGTCTGTGCAGTTTTCATCCTCGAGGCAAATTATTGAACAATAACCGTTAGGTTTCAGGACTTAAGACCTTTTTACCTGGAATTTCATATCCTTTTGATTTATGATGAGAAAAATTTATGGTACGATTAGGAAGAAAATGAAGATAACCTTGAAAATTTCGAAGCCCACAGGAAATCGATACGCCATATTTTGCCTTCCTTAAAACCATACGACTTTTGTATTAATTTAAAAGTTATTTCAGGTGTGCAAGTTATGTGACTCACCCTGTATATGTATATACAAGTTTGTTATACAGTTCCCAAGCGTGCTCTAATCCTCGAATAAGGTGACATTACCTACTAAGATAATAGTAATAAAACAACAAATATCAATTTCTATCAACCTGTTCATCGCTTTCTAACAGCGACAATCATTTTCGTTAAAGTTCACTCGAGTCAATTGTGTCGATTAAGAGAATGTAACGTGTCTCTGCGAGCTGTGAATAAGATAACAGAAATTTTGATAGAGATGCCACGAGCATGTAAAATACCCAAAGAAGACCGAGTGTATAGGATGGGCCAAAAATCACTTCCTATTAAAATAAATAAAATTAATAAAATTAGCCTTTTCTATTTTAATTTTGATGTTTTATTAAAAAAAAAAGAAATAGGTGGGGAGAAACTTTTGGTCCACCCTATATATATAGTCGACAACTATAATCTCTTAAAGTCAGAGATGTAATCTGGGATATATAAACTGAAAGTTACACATATTTATATGTATCGATTATAAGTTCACATAACTCTATGTAGTTCTACATGTTGAAAGATGCTTGACAGCTAATTTTGCAGTGCACGAGACATTAATGGAGACAGCACATAGTATACCCGTTTTAGATGCCTGCACGTGATTGTTTCTGCAAGTGTTACATTATTTTGAAACACACGCTCACTGAGGCCATTCATTGGCTAATGCTAATGCTGACGACACGTAAACTTTGAAAGATAATAATTTATAAACAGTTTTGTGAAAGTACATGTATGTACATTAAATGGTACATATTTTGTACAAAAATTGAAATGTGGTTTTTGCAGGCTTCTGCAACGTTATTTCAAGATCAAATGACCGTCAATCAACTCCCTGGATACTATACTATATTTTCTGAAATATCTGAAACGTATCTTTTCGTATTTCTGATATAGAATAATTACATAATTATGTAGACATTTAAAACGTACATACTGTATATATTGCAACGTAATATTAATGAGTCGTCAATGTTCGATTGGCGTGATTGGCTCGAGGGGACGATTTAGAATGCAACGAACGTAAAACCTAGAAATAAACGGTTTTTCACTGACGTACGAGCAGAACCAGACATAGGGTATACCTTCGTATGCGCTCGTGACACGGGGAATACCGGTGGATAGGTTGACCTAGATTTTAGACTTTCTTCGAACACACAGTTCCGGATTTCTGATCTTGACGATACTTCACAATCAGTTTAAATACATTGGATACGATTGAATGCATACTAAAATAAAAATTATTAATGAAGATTTCATTGATTGAAAATAAGTTAAATTACATGTGTACGATACAAGGCAACGTAAATATTAGGTTAGGTTTACGATTATTATTCAACTGTTACTAAACAAAATAGAACTTTTCAATTAAATAAAACCTCAGTTTGAATACATTGAACGATTGAATATTATTAATGAAAATTATTAGTGAAAAATTTCTCATTGATATGAGACGAGTTAATATTGATGTTGAAATGAATTAAATTTCACCTACGACACAAGGCAACGTAAATATTAGGTTAGGTTACAAAACTGTAAATAAGACCTTTCGATATTTAATGAAACCTTAATTGTAATATGACCTTTCGATGTTTAATGAAACCTTAATTTGAATACATTGAACGATTGAATATCTGTTGAAATTATTATTAAAAATTTCTCATTGATTGGAAATGAGTCGAATTTCATGTACGACACGAGGCAACGTATTGCATGCTGCGTTATTATCGATTCGCTTTCTCGAAAAACACGTGAGAAACACGCCAATGCAATTAAAGGAAAACGCGTGGCGTATCGATTCTCGGAAGTTATTTTAATTTATTCATTGAAGTTACCCAGTTGCTTCTCTGAAACAAAAAGTCATTGATTTTTAAAAGCAAATTCTTTTCTCTCTCTTTTTTTTTTTTTAATCAAATGACTGATATCTTATGAAGTCAAGTTTGAAGGAAAATCGAAATTGAAAATTCAGGTGACTGGAAGAATTTCACATCTTTCTGGATGGTTTTCGTTATTTTATTTATATGTTATTTATACGTCACTCTATACCTGTTCTTCCTATATTTCTTGATTACGTCTTTGCATCAGTCGCTTCCTTCGTCAATGTATATTCGTCAAACAGAATTTTCTATCTATACCGCGAATATTATTTATAGTTATTATTAATAATACGTCGTTATTATTAATGATACAAATATGCATGTACGTTGTGTGTCTTTAGAAATCTGGCGTCCAAATGCATTGGTTTTTGACGTCAATTCTGTTAGCGTTTTTTTTTT